AAACTTACTGACATAAATTCATGAAATAGTAGTTCAATAAAATTTTGAATGCAAGTCAACAAGCGAGATGACATGGCCTTTCACCTATGACTCGTCTCAAAAGGGTTAACAGGTATGAGTTTCTTTAAATTCAAATGTTTTTCACCACAAAGCATTCTCTAAGTATTAATCATGACTCATTTATCTGAGCAGTTTTGAGCATAATAACATGTGCAAACCTCTGATTGGAGATTTTTCTTGGATTTCTCCAACTTGTCATTGAAGGCTTGAACCTCTTCTAACTGATGCTGCATGGACTCTAGATCTCTCATCAATTTTTTTTTCTGGTCTTCTAAAGCATTAGTTTGTTCATCACTTTCATCAACTTTTTTCTTTAACTCATGAACCTGTTGTTAATCATAAATAAAATACTTTAATGTATGTTATTCTCTGTGGAAGATAATGCTAACAAGTGACAATGACTAGCAAAAGAACTGGCTATCAATAATTGTTTCAAGTATTTATCAAATATTTGAATTTTGACACATTAAATATAACTATATATCAATAAAATTATAATAAAAACTTAATGTACTTACCAAGATAAAGAAGGATCTGTTTCCAATATAGTTAAAGTGATGAATTATATTTTAGTGTAAAACATTCTCAAAAGATGAAATATTTAGATGATATTTACCCAATTTGTTTCAGATTTATTCACCATATCATAAATACTTCATTTAGTTCCTCTTAAATCGATTCCTCTATATTTTTTTTCAGGTTAAACCAATTACAAATCACTGAGATAATTCCACAAAAATTTTCTCTCTTTCATTACATCAGTAATATATTTGACTTACTTGGGTGGTTAAATTTGATAACTGTTTTTCTAAGTTTCTTTTTGCTTCTTCTTCAGTCTCCAACTGCTCTTGCAAATTTTCATAATCATTTTCCAACTGTCTAAGCTTAGAGCTCAGGGCTAGCTTCAGTTTGGTTTCTTCTTGAAGAATTTCCTAGTAGTCAAAAAATAACAACAAGAAAAGAACCTTTTCATCATCAATGTAGTACTAATAAGAAAGGATCAGTCACCAACTGATTATTAACTGACACTACACTGACTCATGACTTAATAACTAGAGTAGGGATATATATATAATTTTAATAATAGATAGAGTCAAATGTGCAAACTTATAATAAAAATTGAAAAATTTATTTCATTTAAAAGACCAGCTAGCTAGCTTAAACCATCAGGGAATTTATATGTATTAAATGTTTTCTAAACCTCAATTGCTGCAATCCATTCATGGCTAATTTTTACTATTATATTACTAGCAAGAGAATAGCTTGAACTACTATAGACAAAGTTATACAGAACTGATTATTTCAGGTTGCAGATTCACCTTTGGTTGTTGTCATTTTGTATAATTTTCATAAAATTTAGTTTTTTCATTAACAAACTTCTTTTTTATTGGTAGCCAATCTTGAAGTAGCCGTAGTCTGTTTTGTCCTTTCAGGATAATGCTTTTCTTTTCTAAACTGATACAGTTCAAACTACAAATATTCCTTTCTTCAAAATTCTAAAATTTGTAACTTACCAGCTTTTATATAATGCAATAGAACAACTTAATATTTGAAAGTCCTGTATTGTACCCTCTCCCAGAAGGGGTCAGTATTGGTGCCATATACATTTGCAAATCACCACACTTCTACTGAATTTCAACAACACCAAGATTTTAATTTGTGTAATCACAGGCCATGAGGACAGATAAGGCAAAATGTTTTGATATTAAAATTATTACCATTAATCATAAACAATCTTCTGTATAACTTACAACTATCATAAATATAATTAAACCCAAAATAAAAGTCTACAATGTACAATTATTCATAGCTAACCAACAATTAAACATTTTAGTTGTATGAGGAAGTTTAGATCTACTAAGAACATGCAATACTGTGCTTGCATCAAAATATACCAAAAAAGAATTTTGAAAAATTGTTTCTATGTAGTTAAACACAAAGACTGAATCCCCAATTTCAGAATTATAAACCCTTAAGCTTACTGTTGGGTCACTAATGAGCCATTTATCAAATAAAGTCTCCTAAGTTAAAAAAAAAAAATTAAGTTCATACACTTCTAGTCAAACAGATATCTGTCATAACATACAAAATCAACTGGTGGCTGTCTAAAAAAATTAAGTAATTAAAAACATTTAGTAACGGTGAAATAATTATCCTTTATAAGCAATGCTTATTATCTTCATAAATTCCAGTGAAATGACTTTGAAATAGTTTTCAGAAGACAACAAAAATAAATGCTGCTAATAACCTGTGTTTCAGAAAGTTGACTTTCAAGGGTGCTGGTATATTTGGTTGCTTGATTAGCTCGAGTCTCAGTCTCTTCTAACTGACAATTAACAGCTTCAAGCTCAGCCTATCAAAAGATTAATCTTATTGTTACTAGAAACTAGAAAATGCTTATAAATCATAATTTATCGTAGACCAAACTTGTCAAGATTACTTATTTTGATGATTTAGCTTTTTTTTACATGGAATTCAAAGGCAAGTAAATTAAGCAAATTATAGCATAAATTATTTAGTGTAGATGATTTACCATAAGAAAACACAGGTTTAAGAAAAAATAAATAAATGCAACAACAAAAAAAAAAATTATAACCTGGGTGCTTTAGAAAGGTAGTCCTTCCTTCATCAAGGGCAAACGTTCAAAAGTGTTTGGATTATAGTTTCTCATTTTTATGATTTTCCATAAACTTAGTTTAAAGTTTAATAAAAGAAAAAAAATTGTGATACTTGAAAAAATCTTTTTTTTTTGTATTATACAGATGAACTTATCTTACACAATTTTTCTACAAGTTCTATGGACTGACCTATTACCTAAAGATAAACATAAAGTTAAAAATTATTCCAAAAAGATTTTTCACACTTTTTTTTCTATCATTGACAAAATCCTACAACTGAAACTCTATATTCTTCATGTTCAGCATACATCGACTTTTATATATTATTAACACTGGTCTATTTAAGACAACAATATTACTGAAAATTTTCCAATAGGAATCATTTCTACTAATAAGAAAACCCAGTTTGAACATCTTAACATTCTGTAAACTTTATTGGGCAGCTTACATGTTTTAGATTGTTCTCAAGAAATTAAATGCTTTTTATGATACTTTACAGGAAAAACTTACTTGGAGTTTTTGAACACGCTCAATAATCTCAGCTTTGTTTTGTTCCAAATCTGTCACTTTCACTGCCATTTCTTGCACATTGTTTTCCAACTGTTTCTTTTTTCTTTCAGATTCCTGTCGTGCTGCTGCTAATGTTTTTAACTCACTGGTAATGTTCGAGTTCTCCCCTTCTAAATTAGCTTTAATTTTTTCAAGACCTGCTTTAGCCTAAAATGAAAACAGTAGCTAAATTTTATTAAGTTTTGAACTTACACATTTTTTTTTTTGTTTCACATGAATTGGAGGGATTAAACGTCTATGTACTTTATATATATATATATATATTGTTGTGTCTTATATTTTAAACAAACATTCTACCTTATTATTAATTCTTTTTAACATAGAAATAATGAGCACAATTTTGTCTATGTTTATCAAATAAATAGTCTGAAGTGGGTTTTAACTGCATAAAGTAAAACTCCATAAATCTCATAGAACGTTCTTTTTATGGAATCAATAAAGCTGCACAATTCTTTGTTAGAAAAAATTAATTAAAGTAAAGATGAGACTAGGAAACACAAAAAACATGGTAAGGGTCCTCATATCACAGATGATTCACACTAGGATGATTAAAAACACATAATGCATGAAGAGAAGACCAACTATATCAAAAAGAGTAACCTAGACTATGACAATTAGCATTACTTACCATCTCTGAAGGCCTATCATTATGCACATAATTCAGTTTAGAAAGCCAATAATACTAGATGACTCACCTTTCTTGCTGCCTCCAACTGATTATTAAGTTCCTGAATAGCTTGGATGTGCTTTTGCCGAAGTTCAGTAATTTGGCTGGCATGAGCAGAAGCTTCTTCCTCAATAGTTTTTTTCAGCATTACTACCTCTTGTTCCCTTTTTGTTCGTAGGTCCTGCTGAGCAGCAGTGGTATCAAGGGAGTCTAACAGTTCATTTTTCAAAGCTTCTAGTTCCTTAAAACAATAGGAAAGTTCCATAAAATATAACACTAGTACTGTGATACTAAGTTTTTTTTTATGAAAATATATTATACAATATGCTATACACTGTATTTGCTTATTATGTTGCAAGTAAATAAATTAAAATGTAAATATAACTTTTTTGTTTACCTTCAAAATAAAATAACCATAGGAATAAATATCATTGTTCATTTTTTAACAAAAATATAAATATTTTAATAACACTGAAGCACAGGCATTGTTAGGCATTGTCACACAGGGCTTGTGTCCTGATTCCATCTGACAGTGCCCTGAATCCCCAGTAGGTGTCTTGAAATATCAGAAAAGGAAACCATGATTGATATCATACTGAAATGACAAAAATTATAACGCCTATGGGCCTGAGCCCTAAATCTTTTAAGCACTTTGTAACACCTCTGCACTGAAGTAAAAAGAAGAGTTACAATATGATTTATGACCAAACTCACATACGTCAAATTTCTTCAATTATTGCTAAGATTTTGGTGTCTGTGTTCTGAGACCTCTTATTAATATTTATGATGCAAAAATATCACACAAAAGCAAAATATAAGCTGTTAATTTCTTTTACATATCAGTGAAAATGAAAAAAGTACAACTCATCCGGCAGTCTTTCAACAGTGTGTAGAAAACATTTATTTACAAAAATAAATCACCTCATTTAGATCTCTCTTCTCTCTTTCTGCCTTTGTCCTTGCTACCTTCTCAGCATCAAGATCTTCCTGCAATTCTGTCAACTGATTCTCTATCTCACGAAGGGCCTTCTGAGCTTGAGCCTTGGCTGCAGCTTCCTCATCACACCTAAAAATTAATATATTCTATGGTAGTAAAATGACATTTAAATATGACAAATGTCTTATACCAACATAACATATTCAAAGGTTTGAATAAAATGAATTAAAACAGAGTACACATCACAGCCAGTTTAAACAAATGTATGATGCATCATAGTACGATAATTAATTTAACATGTGAAAACTATAAAACAGAGTACTTTGAAACAAAATAGGTTTATATAGAGACCTGATAAAATATATTCAATAAACAATATTTAAGATTTGTCTGTTGCAGATGATTAGCAACAAAACAATAAAAATGTTATAAATTTCTAAATTAGAGATGACAACCATTAAGCCAATGAAACTATCAAGATTTGCTTGTTACATCAAAATAATGATAACCATCTACACTTCTTTATTGTAACTGACAAGCACTAAAATAATAATAGTTGTTAAAACTTGTCTGTCGCAGCTGATAAGTGCTATCTTAATAACTGTCAAGATGTTGGAACAACACGTAGGTTCAAGAAGTGTTAATGTAAAAGAATAAAAACCCTATAACCCGAGCACTTTCGAAAGGTGGGCTTTTCTTCTTCAGTTTACCCCTTAAGAAGAAAGGTTCACTTTTCAAAAGCATTTGGGTTGTATGATTTTTATCATTTTAATAACTGTCAAAATATGTAAGTTTTATGTTTAAGTTATAAAACAGTGCATATGGATATAACATTAGATAAATAATAAAGCAAACTTTTAGCACCTGACAAGTGATTGGTTCAACTCTTCCTCTTTCTTGACAAGTTGATTTTGTATTTCTTCAACTTCAATTTTTTTTTCATTCAACTGCTCTTTGACATCATTTAGCTCTGTTTCTAATCTTCGTTTCACTCGTTCCATCTCTTGCCTGACCTAATAAATATCAATGATTTATAATAGCCATCAAAAATAAAATTTTGGTATTTCTTAAAAGTGAAGACAAAACAAACTGCAAATGTCACTTTCACAGTTTGAAACATTGTATAGTGTTAAAGTATACATGAATGAAAAAATACTTAAGAAATATTTTTATGATATGAATAAATATATAAAACAGAATATTTTATTATAATAATATTACAAAGTTTAAAAATGACACACACAAAAAAAAAGTTCACAAATTTGAAATGGATATCTCACATGCTGTTCTTTATGAAGACGTTCTTCTAGTTCAGAGATGTTGGATTCATACTTGGCCTTCAGCTTTCCTAAGTGTTTAGATTTCTCTTCCTCCTCAGCTAAAATTTGAGCCAAGTCTGCCTGATGCTCCTCAAGAATTTTCTTTTCCTTGACAAGCTAAAAATTCCAAAAATAAACTATATCATCATCAAATTAACAATTTAGACATTCTGCCTATTGCTGGTTACTTTTAACTTAATCAGTGTGTGCATAATACAGAATGAATAACTTATTTTAATAAAATTATAAATACTGATGTTATAGCTCCCTTACTGTGTTAGATGAAATAAACAAACTACTTATCTTACACATCTCTAATCTAAACATCAATAATTACTTCAAAGCAATATCAACTGTTACGTCAAACATCTTATACAAGACTACATAATGTTTTAATATGCAGTATAAAAACACACAGTAAACCTTTTGGTTAGTGTCTTCCATAACAGCATAATCTTCTTCGAGTTTTTTAAATTTATTATCAAGGCTAGCTTTCTCCAACTGGAGCTTCTGGCGTGCACCTTCCTCTTCTTCTAACCTAGTTAGAAAACAAAATCACTCTAATAATAGTAATACATAAACAAACATTAAAGAAAAAAATTAAATAAAGAACTGAGAAACAATGAAAGTGTGCAATCTACGTCACTTGACACAAAAACAGTGAACAAGTAAATAGGAACTAGCTGTTTTGTAACTTTTTGTCCCATCTATAGATTGTTTACTTACATAGTGAAATGTGATCAGGAAAATGTACAGGATGCTTAAAGTCTTTTATCATCTTCTCATTTCAAAAAACCTTTTCATGTTTTCCCTACAAAACCTAACTTGTATCCAGCATAAATTATCCATGTATGAAGTGCAGCTTTAATTTCTCCCTTCATTAAAAAATACTACTATATATCAAAAGATATATAGTAAATTTGTGGCTATCAATATGATAAATTCTTAAAATATTTTGACTTCACTAAAATTTGAAATCAAACTAGCTTAAGAAACACTAAAACTTTGGTTTTTACAATAACCTATTGCTCCAAATGAAAAAAAAAAATCTTTAAATAAAACCTACACGTTAGGTACTATTCTATATAACCATGTAGCAAAAATCAATATTAAAAGTTACTTTAATCATGAAAATCTTACTGTTCTTCCAAATCTTGAATTGTTTGTTGCATTTTCTTTCTCTCTGATGACAGATTTAAGCTTCTACTTTCTTCTTCTTCAATACGTGTTTCCAGATCATGCAGGATTTCTTCCAACTCTTGCTTTCTTTCCAGGAGACGAAGACGACTCTCTTCAGCCTCAGCACACAGCTCTGTTTCTGCCTGTAGTTGTTCTGTCAGCGTGTTCTTTTCCACTATCAGCTTCATAATAATTTAATCATTTATAATAAATGATCAACAAGTAAATTACATCTTTTTATAATCTCATGTGAACTTAACAACCTGTACAAAACTGACTGCTTTGGTCACATATGACAAAAAATCCACATCACAATAATAAAACCCTATTTATAATATATTCTGAATCATTAAATCACATCATGTAGGATATAGATGTTCATCAGTACTTACTTGTTGGAACCTTTTATCAAGCTCTGTAGCTTGCTGCTCTGCTTTTTCCATTTTTTCTTTTATGTCTCTGAGTTCTTCTTCCTTTGCATTTAACTTTTCTTCTTGTTTAGTAACTTGTAGGAGAGGCTTGACCTGTTTAAAGACAATTATGTTAATCATACACTGTGGAAAAGTAAATTCTTAAACCTTTAAGTACTGATACAGAATGTTTTAGACCTAAACAGGAAAAAAGCAGGATATTTTCAGCTTTCATTTTTAATGGTTGAATACAACATTTCAACTGCATCAACAATTAACACTATGTGATGCTTCCTACCTAATTTATTTCGCATAGAAAAGTTCACCATCAGTTTTTAGAATATTTATCAATCTGTTATATTAGTGTAAACAAAATATCACAGTAACTAACCTTTGTGTACAATCTCCACCAGGGCCAATCTCTTAGCTTCAAGTATGAAGCACAGTTTCTCTGTAAAATCCTCACAGCATTGAGTTGTTGGAGCCGTCTCTGATAGTTTCTAAATATTTTACAAAAACAAGCTAGACTTTATTACCAGCTGAATTAGTATTCTATAACCTAATAGCTTTTATAAGATATGAAGTTAAATTACTGAAAATGTATAATCCTCACAATAAACATAAAGTTCAGATGATGTTGAACATTAAATGAACCATCTCTGGGTTTGCAAAGTTTTACAGGTGCTTTGCGCAAATAAATATTTTGGGTCTGAAATACATTACAAAAATACTTTCCATTATTATCTTGGAATCAATTTAAACATTTAGTAAATTTTACCTTCGAGCTACATATCCACGACAAAAAGATTGAAACTGGATTAGGAGGTCAGATATCTTCATGTCACGTTCTTCCTCCAAATGTGCCAGTACACCTGCTCTGAAGAAAACCTTACCCTGACCAATCCTATAAAGATTAGGGTCAAGGTCAAGTGCATGTATCTGAAAATAAAACAACAATATAAATGCTTAGACTGAAGAGCAAGCCAACAGTTTAGGAACATTATTGAAAAGTATGTAGATATCAATACAAAACAATGGTATTTACACAAAAATTATGGCACAAACATAACACTGAAAGTAAAAAGCTAAAGCTTTAAGACTTTGGAACATAGAAAACATAAATGCTTAGGCCAAGCAACTAAATAAAAATGTAATTTTGTGAATCTTTAGATACGAAACATAAAACAACGAGGCCAAGTTCCAGTTACAAACAGTGATAAAACATGGTAGCAAGATAGTAACAAAGTGTATGATTCACTTAATGCAAATGATATATCAATTTGAATGTAAACATAAATAGAAATATTTCAGTTAAGCAAAATATTCTGATCTAAAAAGAGTCTCATAAAAAGTTGGTCAAAGTGCTATTCTACTGAATTCAAATTATCTATACAATATTTATTTTATTTGAAGAAAGTCAACAAAATTCTAACTTACTACTTGAATTTTATAAGCATAATTATTTGTTTTTACTATTTTTTTTTACTGTCTTTATTCAAAATGAACATCTTACTCTCAGGACATCTTACCATTTTTTCACAAGCAAGTTTACCATCCATAAAACCTTTTGGAATAACATTTGGTGTCAGCAATTCATACCTATATATAAATCAGAAATATCTTGCATAAGTTTTTTTTTCAAAGTGCTTTACCAATAACAAGCTTAAATATAATTATATATATAAAATCTATATGATTTATTAGAACATGTAAAAGCATATATACTGGCTGATATTACTAAACATGATGATGTATGAAGAATTTTTTAAACCAAAGATGAGTGTATAATTTTTATGATCTGGTACAATTTCTTTGTCAATGCAAACAATAACATCATGTAGATAAAATTTAAGAACTTACATTACTAGAGATATTGCTAGCTGTCCTTCAAACCTTTGATGTAGAGTTGAATATATGTATATTAAAATACATTAGCTTGATGTTTTGTATAAAGTGTATTTTTAAACGTTAGAAGTATAAAATATTCTATCACTTTGAACTCTTTACTTATATTGATAAAACACTGATGGCATTCTAGAAATCTTATCAAAAATATAGAGCTTCAATATCAAGTTTATTATTTGAATATAATTCCATTCAAAGGTTTGGAAGCAGACACATTTTTGGAAATAATATGAAAAGTAAACATACTTATAATCAAATTGATAGGTTAAAGTAGAAATAAAAAATAACTTAATGAAATGCTACAAATACAATCATAGGTTAATTATTTTCACTTAAAACATTACATTAATCAAAGTGACCAAAATGTACTTTAACTGTCTCACTATGAGCTCAGTTGGTTCAACCTAAAAATTGACCCCATATTGACCTTTAGAACTTTCATACTTCTAATATATTTTGTGTATCTTCACAAAATTTTGCAAGCTTTCAGTAAACATTAAGCCATTTTTAGACAAAAAAAAAATCAGAATTTTGAATGAATCATTTTCACTAAAAATTTCTCCATGAATATATGATATGGAATCAAAGTTTTGACTGCTATGAGTGAAAATTGATTTTCATGTTAGGATTAGAAATGCTTTTCTTTATCTAAAAAACCTCAAATTTCGTTTGTGTAATCTCAAAAACCTCCTAAATAAAGTTCAAACATCTTTTTCTTCAGTAAAACTTTATAACTTATCTGTTAATACAAATCTTATACATAAATAATTTCTAGTAATTGTTTACTAGTTTTTAAAATAAGTTACCTACAGAGATGGAGAGATCATTGTTTGATGTTAAATTGCTGCAAACAGAACATGAAACATTTACAGAATTCCAGATACAATGAACCCTTTAGTGTTGGATTTATTGACCAATGTTTCATTTTCAAATAGGACAACGATACAAAGTATACATCTAAACAATGCTGCAGCTACACCAAAGGAAAGAAACAATGAAGTGTTCTCCAAAACATGGATTGACTACAACAATCACAGACTTATCACCTACACTGGAATTGATGTGGTTGAAATTGACAAACCATGTGAAATCTATGATGACACATAAGGTCACATAGCTGTAGCAATATGTTTATACCACAAAAAGGCAAAGGTGGATATTTTAGATGAGTCTAACAATTAAGTGAAAATAATTCAATTATATTTGCATCTACATCAAGCCAATTATATAATTTAGTCTTTACTGCTATTATAACCAATATTTTAACAAAAAAAAGTGGTAGCAGACATTGTTTTGCAGATAAAATTAAAATAAACACATTTATTACATTTTAAAATTTACCAAAACCACTTAGTGTTACAATATTACACATCACAGATGAAAAATATTTGCTATCTAACTTTAAGCAACTTGATTCTTTTTGAATAAACAATTTAAACATTACTGTATATTACAAATTTTGGACTTATCTATTTAACATTCACCTGACTCACCACTAAAACATGAGTACCTGAACCTGTGTATCTCACCAAACTTAACACTAAAACGAAAGTAATTTCTAGTAATTGTTTACTAGTTTTTAAAATAAGTATGCAATTTAATCCAATGTTCATGGCTGGGGTGTCAAAGTGCACATCCCACAACCTCTTACACAGTGCCATGCAACATGGTGTATATTTGATTTCAAAGTTATCAATTATTCATTTCACCCTATATTACTAACTTAGCAACACTGTGATAGAGAAGGGTAATTACCAGATACATTATACAGGGATACTGAAAAAAAGCTGCCTCTATGCATTTTGGAGGTCGTATAGGTTATGCAAATGCAATATGCAAACTTTATGATGGAAGTACTTTTTATTTTTCATATGAACACCACTTGAGTACAAATAATTTTTGTAACCCATTTGATTTGTACATTTGTATAGACTTGGACATCTTACTAAAAGCTTGCCATATTTCATGTAGATACACATATTGAATTTGGAATCATAGTCAACATTTCTTCTCCAATATGGGATTGGTCATTGGACCAACCCCATAAACATTCAGTTAAAACAGTCTGAAGAATTATCTTTTGTTTTTACCTTTGACGAAATTCTTGGAAGGGGATTCTATTAGGAAAGCCCTGGCGACAGATTCTGATTCCTTCAAGTACTCCATTGCATCGTAACTGATCCAGAACTAAGAGAGAATCTATCTTCCCAGGCTAGAAAAAATTTGTATGTAACAAATATCAAAATGCAACACAATTATTAAAAGAGGTTACACTGTTTTGAAATTATAAGGGAGTTTATTCTTTATAAAGTAAAGCGTATTGAACAAGAATACACTTACTTTTTTGTCATGATTAGGAATGATGCAACGAACAAAATTAGGGTTAGTATTTCTCAGAGTCACCATAAGTTTAGACAGTTGGTCTTTGTAAAGCTGGGCAACTGTTCGAAACATCCCCTTCCTCGTTCGTGCTCCAAACACTGTGTCACACATTGTAGTAGCCCCCATTCCAACAATTTCAGCTAGAGGAAAAATTTAAATCTTTAAAAAATGACCAGACAAAATATCTGAAAAAGGATTTACAATAAAAACAACTGAATATAAGAATGAAACAATGTATATAATGTTCTAGGCACATCAAATGCAAAATCCTGCAATACAGTACCATTGGTATAACTACCATTTTATAAAATGTGGAGAAACAAAATTTCAAGCATAAAAAATTAATTAATTAAATTAAAGCTGTCTCTGAAACAACTTTCATTTCTCCAGTTCCTATGCATTTTCACCAACCTCTGTGTGTGTGTATGTATATATATATATATATAGGCACAGGAGATATGTTTTGATTATAAGATAGTACCATCACTTTACAGAAATATAGTTTGTTTTGATTTAGATAATTTGATATATTATAGGAATAAAACAGAACATTATGAAAAGTTATCTAAAGTATATTGGTAGATTATAAACATATATTTATACAAGTACACAAGTTATGATAACACAAACTTAAAATATGAAGCAAGAAATATAGTTCATTTGTAGACACGGAAGTGACTACATGGGTTTTCTGCTAGATGGTTTTCAGAAATTCCTTAATGCAAGTCGTGTTCTTGTTATGAGGAGAGTACCATATAAAATTGTATTTTATTATAAATGGCGTGGCATGACTAGGTAGTTAGGAAGCTTGACTTGCAATCTGAGAGTCACGGGTTAAAATCCTTGCCCCACCAAACATGCTGGCAATGACTATCAGCCTTATCTCTAGTCTTTCACTGCTATATTATGGATGGCTAACACAAATAGGCCTTGTATAGCTTTGCATGAAATTCAAAACAAACAATCTATTATAAAGAAATGGCTGTTGCTCATACCACAATTATTTTCTAATTTCTTGAATACCCAAAGTGTGAAATGTTTTCAGATTTTTGTTTGTAATGCCATTCAATAGATGATGCAGGAGTTTTGACCAAATAATCCACATTTAAGGACAGGATTCTTTCTCTAACTACCCTAGTATCTTCACAAGTCCAACTTCTGCTGCACTTGTCAGTGCAGTCATGACAAGTAGGCCTTAGATTGCCCTATTCTCCCATCTGGAACCAGGTCAGCTGCACCATGACACATTTTGGTATATGGCATAGTGGAGTTGGTGATTGGTGGATCTATTGAAACATGGGCACTGCCATAGATTTTGAAGACTGTTTTAGAGCTGAGTCCAAAGCAACAGGTGGTATTGCTGCTAGTTTCTTCATTTGCTTCAACATAGGAGTTACTAGAATCAGTTCGACCCACTTTGTCACAGAAACTCTCCATTGCAGACGTTCCTGAAACTCAAGAGGTAATGCATGGGTTTAGTTGCAAGACCCTCGATAAATTTATCTCACCAGCATCACCAGGAGACATTTTCTAAAATACTATCATACATAAGTGGCAAAGTTTTGCTGGGGCTCTAAACTTCAAGCTTTAAACTTAGGGTAAAATTTGCAGTACAACTCGTTGATAACTACACCCCAGTAATTGACTCAGTTCTCAACCTAAAGCTCTAAGGCATTAAATGCCAGACCATCAAGACTGAGCATCAAAGATTGCATGTCAAGTACCCGAGTTCATCCATTCAAAGCAACGACTAGATTGAAATATTTGAGGAAATAGTTCTAATCCTCAGTGGCCATCTACTTAAATACAGGTGGGTTCACCTATTTCATATCACCGTCATAACTACATCATTAAAGTTCTTAGTCCATGAAAGGCCTCATTCCAGTCCTTGCTGTACTTTCAAATCAAGTCTCTACTTGATCAAAGCTTTCTTCTCTCCAACACAAGTTTTACAAGGCCTTAACAATTGCCCTTCCTTGATCACAGTTTCTAAACATTAAAGAAATAATGAGATAAACAGAAAAAAGAGCATGTTCAAGATAATATTCATACCACACAAATCTTTTGATCACAAAACCAAAATGTATCTTAATAACTTAGTCTATGCTTTTTAGGTTATTGACATTTGATGAAAAAATAATCAAGTATTAGCAAAAGAAAAGGTTTTGTAAATGTCTTGCAAAGAATGAAATGAACACAGACAATTAAAAAAGTGTGTTAAATTAAACATACATCTTCATTTATATAATGAAAAGGTGTGTTGGGGCTTTACCTATTAACTGGGTGGTTTTTATATTCTGTGTTAAGTGACTGCAACTAGTTGTTGGAGCAGATAAAAACCACATCAATGCTGGACAAAGACAAGAGTGAAAATAATGATGATACCATACTGTTAGGTCAGACCAGAGTGTTAAGTACAGTATCCTACAAACCCTATATAATACCAAGAATAATAGTGATACCCATTATATGCATTCAAGGCAGATAAACCTGAGAATCACACTAACTTGTACGAGTCCCTGTACTGCCCCTCAAAATAAACATGATTCTATTCCAGGAGGTCATGACAAAGAAAGTGGATCACGTAGGTATAAGCCTTATGGAAATTATGTGGTGTGTAAATTTCATCTGCATTAGAGATCCAGTTTAGAAGGATGTCACTAACCACATGCATACCTAAATAATGACAATCTTCCTAATTATGGAAGAATGCAACTGAAAGTTCTTTCCACTACAATTTAAATTAGCAAACTTCTTTGATGCCATTCACAGGTTACAAGAAACATCTACATTTTCCATAATTCTGTAAGCTAGCTAATTAATCTGTACTCCCTTTCACCTACCATCTTTCCAAATTTGAGTGATGAATGAGTCTTGAGAACTTTGTAGTAATGAGACAACATTCTCATTCAAGGGGTCCATGTTCTTCATTAGCCACTGATTAGCAAGGTAGTCCACCTAGTGGTACAAAAAACATTAAATTTACAGAAAACCATTAAGACTAGTTCTATATATGGGACTTAGAGTTCTCTACATCACAGATTCTCTTTTCAGTTTCAACTCTGGTGAAAAAGGAAAGAAATATATATATACACATGCACACACATAATCATTAAACAGTTAGTCCATCATATAATATCAAATAACGGACTCAAAATTCCATTGATATTATATACATTTCACCATTATAAGAGGCCTAATGGTATTTCTTTGGTTTGCTGGCTCAAGCTGTGCTGATGAGCCTTGAATAGGCAAAACTGCAAGTCCACAGGGTACACCCAATCAAAGAAAGCATTAGGCCTCTACGTCACATATTCTCTTTTCAATTTTACCTCTGGTGAAAAAAGAAAAGAAATCTTTAATATATAATTTACATATTTTGCAAAACTTTACAAACTGCATTAACGTAAGTATTAGCTTTATTGAACATTTTAATTGTTGAGATGAATAACTGATTAAATATAAATACACACATACATAACCGTAACAACCAACTTACCAATATATATACTAATTAATATTCTTCAGTCGCTATGCATTAGTGTATAGTACCCGAGTAAGGTTTTTACCTACAATGAACGTAGTTTAAGTGTGCTTGGAAATTGGTATGTTACTGAACTCATGTTATCGCTGATGTCCAATCAAGCATATTATCACAAGGTAGAAATACATACATGTAAAGAAAATTAAAATACCCAACAAATGTCAATGAAAAGGTTTTGGAGTTATTTCTAACCTTGTGACAAGAATATAGCTTACTTAAAGCAGTAATAAGGCTTTCAGAGAAAATTGGTACTTTCTGTTGTTCACATTTTATTTGCCCATGTAATGTTAAATAAAGCAGATTAAATTATCAATACTGAATGATAATAAATTACTGTGTAATTATTATATGTATTTACCAAGCAGTAGCTTTGCCTTGCATTCCAACCAGACTTGACTACTAATTAAGGCAATATAGCAAGATGTATTGCCAAGACTGTTTTCTGCCAACAATGATTCCTTTCCATTGAGAAAGGCTTTATAAACCTAAAATTGTATGACATACATGTAAAGGGTGACACCTGTTGTAGATAAAAAATGTATGTTAGACATGCTGCAAATTTTTGACATTATAGAGAAAATATTCCATACTCTTTATATTCTGGAATAAATATAGTGAGTTTTTAAGAGTAAAAATAATGCATTAATATACACTTTTTTAATTCTCTGTATGTTTGGTATCTTGTTCCTTTTGCAATTAAAGATCCACAGTGTTTTTAAATATTTCAATGCATTTTACCTTTTAAACCAAGATTATTTTGAACGAAAAAAAAAATACAGCAAAGTGCAACAGGCATGCTTGAATATTTATGCATTATGCATATATTAAGAGTTTTTGAATTTATTCTAATATGAGTTAATAAGTTCCAAAGAAGGCTTGCAATTTCTGATGTAGAGATAGCTTGTACATTTAACTTTATATTTTTCACACTTTTCATTTAAGTAAAGGTTGTGATATTAAAACAATACTAAGTAACTGTTACTATGTGTAATCCAAAAACTTAATATACTATAAGGAAAGTCACAACTAATGAGACAGTAATCATGACATTACCTTTCCAGCATAATGAAAAATACTGAAATCAGATGACTCCCTGAAGTCAGACTTCATGAACTTGGGGTGTTCACTATGTGTGAGAATCATCTTCTCCACAAGGGTTTTGTCTGTTGCTTTAGGAAATAGGCACTCTTCATCCAAAAGAGCAAGTATTCCCATTGGCTAAGAAAAAAATAGTGATTGTATTTATTTGTAAGCAAAACAGACTGATTCTGCAACTATATTAATTGGCCAAATAGAAAACCTTCAAATATCAATCCTACAAGCAATAATAAAAAAAGTGTAAAGATACTAATATGAATTATGCATCACTCACAATATAAAGCTGTACATTTTTGCACCAATCAACTAAAACTTCTTATAACAATAGCTTTCTAGCTACCATGTTAATCTTCCATTCAAGTTTGATTTCAACTACAATCAAAATATTAATCTCATATAATAGCATATTTAATGTGCTACTATAAGGAATAATAAGTCATTTCAATTGAGATTATTTAAGCAAAACTGTAAAATGGATAACAGATTTAGAAAGATATAAAATGTGTATGTACAGTCAAAGTTGTATTTGTTTTAGTGTAAGTGTGGCTACAAAATATTTCCACATAATTCTGTTTGAAAACTACCAAACATTCAACATGACACAAAGAATGCACCAAAATACAGGTAAAACTGAAGTGTAAATGCACAGTGAGAAAATGACAGTAGATTTTTTTGTGTAATTAGAACATGATGTATCTCCTCCTCTATATTTCATGCATTCATACACAAGTCTGTCCTACATTTAACAAGTGACATCATTGAAATTTCCTTGATTGTTACTTTCTATTTACTTAATTGCAATTACTTAATATTAAAATATTTGAAAAATTCACTCAGAACTGTATATCTTAGGATCTTAATGTAACTAAATGTTTATATTATAATTAACAGTTATTGCTACTCTAAATTCTACTATTTTTCTGAAAGCTAAAAACTGGTTTGACCTTTGGCAATTTGATAATTAGATGAGTGCACTGTCTTTTACAGTTACATGTACAGCTCAAATTTTAAATTAAGATTATCAAAACAACTATATTTAAAAGTGTGAAAAGTCTAAACATGCCTTCTCAATGAGGTCAATAGTAGGCTGAAGATCTAAACCAAAGTCAATGAACTTCCACTGTATGCCTTCCTTCTGGTATTCTTCTTGTTCCAAAATAAACATGGTGTGATTAAACAACTGCTGCAGTTTCTCATTGGTGAAGTTGATACATAGTTGCTCGAAAGAGTTTAGCTAGAGAGAATATTTGTTATTTTTCAAAGCATTGTATGTTTATAAGACATAACACACCTGAGGAATGTATAGATATTTATATATCAAAATGAAGTATGGCACACAAATTTAATTTTCATATCACTTCAATAGAGTTTTAAGTAAGATAACATAAAGAATATGTTTGAATACTTAATTGAGTATCATCAGTGAAGGTGTGTGTGCATACATGTGAACATACATATTGACCAATATTTCATCAAAAGTATTACATGTAATGAAAAACAATTTTCTCTAAGTCATATAACTTCATTCAACAGTACATTAACTTAGTACAAACATTTCTATAGATATATATAAATGTAATTTGATCATATGGGATACTAAATGAATATGAATTGATGTAATACTATTGAGACACATAGTTATGGTTTAAGTAACTTGCCACAAAATGAGTAAATATTAATTTAAGGTAAAATCTGTTATGATAAATTATTAAAAGAACTAAATAAAATTTCCAAAACAGTCCAAATTATTATACAAAAAACATTAATCTCTTAAATAAATTCTGACTAAAGAAGCTAAAATGCTTTAAGTTTTAGTTTGAAGACTACATGTTGATATAAAACTTCTAGAATAAAAATAAATCTTGTAATTTAGTATAACCAAAGCCAGACAAGTATCCTATATACTACCAGAATTGTTGTGTTCTACATTCTGATGTTATGCAATATTATAGATTTGTAATATTATTAATAATATTTACCAAATTCTATTTATGTTTGTTTTGATATACATTTAACTTAATATATAATCTATATATAATGCTAACTGTAATATTAATACTTGTATTCACATTTTATGTTACTTAATAATTTTACTCCATGGAGATGTTTAAAGAATGTTAACGGTTACCTCAAATATTTCGAATCCAGCAATATCTAGAATTCCAATGAAAGATGCTCCTTGCCGTTTTGTTCTATCTAAGGAACGATTTATACGATGAACTAGCCAGTGAAACATACGTTTGTAGCAAGCTTTGGCAATGGCTTCTACAGCAAATTCCACCTTATAATAATGAGAGACAAGACTTGCTGTTTGTGAATGATAACAACTTCAGAAATGTTGAAGAACAATCAAAAGAATTTGAAAGATGTCTAACTGAACAAAACTGGTTCATATTAGTCCAAAAAATTACCAGTAAATTATAAATCTAAAAATTTAAGAACATGTTCAGAGAAATATATATGCATCAAATATTGATAATGTCCACTAATGTCTCAGTTCATTAGCCAAACTGAGTGAGTGTGCCTTAATTTATATTGGTAGTATGTCAATTCTTATACTTCAGAGTGGACACTTGTATGCCTTTACATTGGAACCATATTTCAATGCCTTATCTTACAACATGAGTTTATGTCTATCTGTACACAGTTTCACATAAAGGGTTGGAAATATTTTATTTGAACTGTTGGTAGATTAAGTAAAACAGATTTATAACTGAAAATGCACTGAAATCATTGAAAGTATGCAAATAAATTAATATCCTGTAAGATATTAAATGAAACTATATGCAGCAGTTCAGATTCTTAAAATGAAAAACAATTAATTACCACAAGCATGAGTGTAAAGTTAACTGAAATATTTTTATAATGAATAACTAACAAGACTTTTATTTGTTACCTTAGCTTTATCTTGATACATATGTAGGACCCAATATGTATACTTTTGGAATTTCACTAATACAATTGCCTGATTAAATACTTTTGATCTTCAACTAACTTACTAATGACCTTGGAGGTCATCTTTACTTTTATACACAACTGTAACTTAAAACCTATTATTTCTTCAAGCTTAAAGACAGAAGTAACATAATACTGTTTTTACTTCTATGCTACTTTGACTATTAATCTCATTTTCATCATTATGAGCAGCTAGAACCTAAGAATTACAGTTTTACAAGCACATAAACAACCATGATCACAATCATATCTAATGTTTGGTTACATCACAGTTTAACTTACTAGTGTAGTGTACAATATGGAAGAATGTACAAGAACAATAATGAAGAAAAGAAAAAAAGGATGATTCTGAGATATTCAATGAACTATGTAAATTTATTGGTTTAAAGTTAAGAATCAAATGCAATAGTGCATAATATCACAAAGCTTGGTAAAAAATACCTAGTATATAGAATGAGGACAATCAGAAACATGATGTGGAAAAGAAAAAAAGGAATGATCAAGCAGTAAAGCTAATATGTTCAAAGGTCAAATCCTTTCCATGCTGAGATGGAACATCTGGTGCTGAATTCCAGCTTAAATGTCACAAGAAGAGCAGTCCCTAGTTAACAGCTGGTATAGTTTTGCATTATTAGCTTAGTATATAGAGTTAAAATGAACCTAAATCTCCTAAGCTGTCCAAACTCATGAGGTATTACTGGGTTAATATAAAACTGAAAATATTATTAAGAGGGTGTACCCAACTGATGAAACAATGCATTATAACCTTTAAAAGCAACAAGTACATGACTAAATTCCAAAGCAGGTAACTCACCATCTTGATTTTGAACCAATCATGTATACAGACAGTTTGGTTTGCTTTAAAATCATCCCAGAGGGTTTGATCTGATTTCATTTATTATTAAACTAGATCAATACTATCTGGGATGAGTTCAACCACTTAAAGATTGCAAAAATCAACACATCAGAAGGTTACAAGATCTACCATAATTTGGGCATGGTCTGGAATCCTCAGCTCATGTCGCTATTCTAAGGCTGATGCTCTACAATTGAGCAACCAATATTCATGTCCCAAATCAATAACCTCTACCCTGACTATTAGATCATGAAGGCTGCTTTCTACTACCTATTTTTTTACTGACATGTCTTGTTTGCCTGAAATATAATATTATATGATCTGTAATGTTGTTAAACTTTAGTAATATATAAATTTTTTTCATTTGCTAAAGATTAATTATTTATTCTCTTAAATGTTTAGTTATATAATCACCTGTTCTTTTGTCTGAGCTCTGGTGACATAATCTCTACCAACTTTGAGACGAGGTTTCAGAAAAGCTTTGGTCATCTCTGTAACACTGAGACCAAGCAAGTGACTTATCTTCTGAGCAACAGTGTTCTCTGGTAGAGTGGCCTGATCAGAGTTTCTTTCTTGATTAAATTTCATGTTACCAAACAATATCACTGCAGATACCAATCGAAATATACCTGCAGTGCACAAACAAGAGTGTTTCACTCAAAATATACCAAAAACAATAAATTAAAAAAATAAGTCATGTTATATACTTTATATTCAAAAGCTATCAGAAGTAGTTTTATTTCTAAGATTCATTAGTTAATTTGAAGTTTAAACATCAAGTTTTACTTTTAAGTTGTTTTTATAATCATATAATGCATCTGTTTTTGAAATATAAATGTATTACATATATATACACACAAATATTTAGAAAACATTACTTTAAAGACAAATACTTTTAAAATTACCTTCAAGATTAAAATTTCTAATTTATTTACAACAACTGCAAAATAAAAAAAGTTTTGCTGTTTTTCAGAATTTGTAGTGCATACTGGCAGGATTTAGACATTTTGGTAATAGAGTTAAAAAAAAGACCTTTACTCTCTGCATAATAATAATAATAAAAATCTTAATTTCAGCCAATGTTTTGCCGTTGAGGCTTCATCAGGGTTCATAGGACAAGAACTGCTTGATGTTCATTTTCACATCAAATAGTTCATGTACTAGTACTTATGAAGCTGCAATGGTGAAACTTTGGCTGAAATTAAGATTTTTATTATTATGCAGAAAGTAAAGGTTGTTTGTTTTCTAACTTTATTGTCCAAATAAAAATAACAAATAACTTTCAAATAATACTTCCTTATGTTTTTAAAACACATACTTGAGATATTTTAAAGTCCAGACACTCACCACTGACATCATCTGAAGTAAATCCCATGATGTCCATAGCCTTAACAGTATTTTTGAACTCTTGTAAGTCATCAACACCAGTGACAGGCACATTACCATGTGTTAAAAAGGTGTAGTTCTTAAGATCCTCAAGGAGAAACTCTTCTATAAAATGATGAAATACAAAACTGTACAGACTACTTCGTACTTAGGAAAATGACAGACAATATTTCAAATTGATAGAAAACCTTAATTATCAAGAAAAAAAAATTACTAAACATTTTTAGTATAGACAATTTATGTGATTCACAAAGTTTAAAACAATTAATTACATCACAATTATTTTTACAATGCATGTATTTGTTATATAACAAATGCCATGTAGTCTTGACATGTCATCTTTGTAAAACAGAATTAATGTATAATTTATAAAAAAAACACACATACAAAAGTTATTTCCTGTCAAATCTTTACTAACATACTTTCAATTTTATCTTAGGGATAGTATTAGATCAATTGAAAAAACATATAGAAAAATAGTTTTTAAAAAAAGAAAATCCACCAGAATCACTGAGTGCAATCAGTAAAAGTAAGACACAAATGGTATATACTTTTCATTTTTCATAATACTTTACTGACTCAGAAATATCCAGAGAATAAAACTACACAGATATAAACATGAACATGATGGAAATCACTAGTTACAATAAGTTAAAATATTCATGTGACACAAAAATAATTTTAACCTATAATCACAATTAAGTCCAGTTCCTGGTCCAAATCTTGTTTTCAATTACATTTGTCATAAGATATTAGTAGTAGGCCTATTACATTTTTAAGATACTACATTCTTAATCTAGTCCCTTAGGGATTTAAGGACTAGAAGAGTGTATAATAATAGTATTCCAACCACATTATGTTCGCCATATCCATTGCCAATGACGATGTTTCACTCAATCCAGTGCTCATTAAGCAGGCTGGGATACATCAGATATAGAAGTGATTGGAACATTATTTATATGAGCCATTTGAACTACAAGAAGAGTGAACTCTTGAGCTACATTATACCCAAAATACGATAATACACAAAACAAAACTAGTAGGCATTATATAACTCAAGAGTTCACTCTCCTTGTAGTTGTTGTACCTGATGATGCCAGGTTAACCTAGTGAAATGTTGTAACCATAAATATTACACTCTGTATATCTGATAACAAAATACGTTTTACATAATAGGGTACTGCCTTTAATTATTTGGTGTTCTCTTTGATTAATGTAATTTTTTTTACATCTGCATGTAATTTTGTAAGTTATGCTTTCTAATTAGCAGGAGGTATAGTTAGAGAGGCCTTTGTCAGTGAAGTTCTAAGTGTCTTTCTACTTTGATGAACAGCACAGATGAATAACACATTTATGACCTATTTTAACTTTTCACTAAGACTTTCAACATCTACGTCAATCCTGAAGTTACCTTCTCATTATTCTTTAAGTGTGATAACATGTTTCCATGACAAAATTAACTAATTTATCACATAAAGAAAAAATGTCATAAAAATTACTAAAATTATATAAAATTCACATGAAAAGAAATACAAAAGTCAGATCACATAGATTTAAGTACACAAAACTTAAAGTTTGCAATAAACTTACTTTGTTCTTCTGGTGCAGCTCCATTCACAAGTTGGTAGAAAATGTGAAAAGAACGCTCATTACTGGCCTGGCGAATGGCACGTGATTTTTCCAATAAATCTGTTGAGTTACTTAAAGAAAAATTCTTAAGTAATTCTCATTATAAGCAATGAATTTTATTAGTTACAAGCAAAAGTACCCATTCCCAGTGATTGGAAAAGTTTAAGTTAATCTATCAATTTAAAGGACTTTAAATAAAAAAAAGTTAATTGTGTTGCACTCTTGGTTTCACTCAGAGCCAAAGCTCTAAGCTATTTATACACCCATTGCAAAATGTAATTGTTGAGCATTTCAGTCATGGTAAGAGCTGCTCAACAATAACATACAGTAAATCTACATTTTTTATTCTATACATTACGTTTATTTTATTCCTAACAATTTAGTGTAGAATATCCTACATATGAAATAAAATTTGGCATCAACGTTATTCATTCCTGTTCTCCTGGCATTTCACAAGTGAATGCTGAGCTTTGCCTGTGTGTGCAGGTTTTCAAATGCAGCAAAGAAAGTGGCCGCTGCAAACAGGAGACAGATGAACATATGGACAGATACCATGGTTTACAGTATATAAAATAGAACTATGACTATTTTTAAGTATGAAAAATTTTTGTGCTGTAAAATTTTAAAAGTAATTTTTGTACAGTCTTTATAGAATCTATGTGTATTTTAAATGTATCTAAACCATTTTGCTTGCATTTCTTTAACATTCTTTTATTGTAAAATTATGCGAGTAAACACTAAATGCTGAAATGATTCTGTCTGTTAGTTCTTAATATATTACTCTTATCACAGTACATAGATATAAATATACAATGGGTGTTTAAAATACACTTAGCAAATAAATATTAGAAGATTATTTGAGTTTTTAGACTAATGTTTTATGATCTACTAAAATTATCATGCAATGACTGTGTTTGGGTTAACAGAAGTCTTTATATTAAATAGCAAGTTTTCAATATGATTTGATAATGTATTAAGCATAACTTTTTTATCACAGATGTATCAAATGTTGATTCTTTGTCAATGGAAAAGCAACTGTCAACTTCCAATATACAATAAGATTAATGTACAACAAAACACAAAAGGATACATGTTTCAATATTGGCACCAGCAATGAACCCCGAGGCATCAAAATTGATACGGACGAACTTTCCCTGAAAGATGTTAACAGAAATAGATGAAAAATTTGTTGGAGCTTTTAATAGTTACACAATATTTTCTAGAGTGCAAAATATTACCCTTATTACAAGCTAATACGATATGGATTAGCAAAAAGAATGCTTTTGAAACATACTAGTAGAAATAGTATATGTTTTTATACTTTATTTTTAAAAACATTCGAGGCATGAAGTTTTAAAACCATGATACTATATCTTAAAAATCTGCTTACAAATCTAGAAGAATTGTCATTTTTCACAGTTTTGGCATTTCCAAAAGCTTCTAGGATAGGGTTAGCTTGCAATAGCTGTTGCTCTAGTTCTCCCTAAAATGACAACATTAAGGGAGGTGATGAGTACCAAATTCCATTCTAAAAATGTTTATACATTCTTATCAGAGGATTAATAACTGATTTTAATACTGTCGTTGCTTTTTCACAAAATAATGTTCTAAAGATACAATTCTGTCACTTTAATCTTTACAGATATGGAAATCGTTTTTCTTTCTACACATCAGTGCTTTTACACCAATAATTACAATTAAATTATTTTAATGCAATATTTTAATTTCATTTTATTTCTAGTTCAGTAAAAAACTATACTAAAACAACCTGCAGTTTTATTAAATAAATTACTGAATCAGTTATTTCTTAAATTACAACAAAACCCAAGTAGTAAACATGATTTCTGGGTAATTAAAAATAATGAATCTAACTTAAAAACAATAGAAAATTAAAATAAAAATCAACCAGCAGATACAATATAAACTTATGATTTTACTACTTTACTTACAACTATACCACTTAACAATTTGGTAATGGAGATTAATTCATTATTATAAAGATGGAAAAACTAACTTTTACTGCTAACAATATCAAAAATATGTTCAGTTTTTGAATACATAATAACTATATTCATTTTGTATAAACATATTTATAAACAAATAGT